AACACCAGTTTGGTCCTGGAAAATTGAGAAGTTGGACTGAGAGTCCAAGCATAGGCCATGAGTAGTTTGCAAAATGAAGGACCAGATTCTGTGTCATGGAGTATGAACTAAATAATAATGAGGTATCCACAAAGAAGGGTTTTAAACCCAGGAACCACATTTATGTGCTTAGGATTCTCTCAGTATGAGAATGGCAAGCAGTATGTGCTATGCAGGCTGCTACAAAAAGCAGAGAATGATAGGGTTGGCTGGACCTGGTCTTAGCCCTCAACCTGGGTTTTTTGTTTGTTTTTGCAGTGCCAAGGATCCAACCCAGAGCTTCATGTTGCAAGACAAGTACTCTACCACTAAGCTGTATTCTCAATCCCTCCCTTTGATTGAAAAATAGGGGCATTTTCTACCTTGTAGTAAGAGAATCGTATACATTTGAAGTGTCACATTCTGGATTTCTGGATTCAAAAATTTGGCCAATCACAAGCTTAACAGAAATGGCACTCTGTGGCCTTGAAAAAAGCTAGCCAGATGCTGTGGCACACACCTGTAATCCAATGACTTGGGAGGCCAAGGCAAGAAAATCACAAGTGCATGGCCAGCATCAGCAATTTAGCAAGACCTTGTCTCAAACTACTAAAAGGGCTGGCAACTTAGTTTGGTGGTAAAAATGCTCCTGGGTTGAATCCTGGGTGAAAGAAATGACTTTATTGTGATACAATTTATATACCATAATATGTAAAATGTACAATTCAGTAGTTTTTAGTATTAAGAGTTGGGGAATCACTATATACTTTTTTGGGGGCAGGGGTACCAGGGATTGAACCCAGGGACACTTAACCACTGAGCCACATCCCCAGACCTTTTTATTTTTTATTTTGAGACAAGGTCTCATTAGGTTGCTGAGATTAGCTTTGAACTCATGATCCTCCTGCCTCAGCCTCCTAAGGTACTAGGATTACAGGCGTGCACCACCACATCCACCTGTAGACAGTCTTTATCAGGTCAAGGAAGTTCAATTCTATTTCTAGTTGTTTTTACATTGTTTTCAATACTTTATTTCCTAACCAAAATAATACACTATGTCTTTTTTTCCCCTTTTTTGTTTATTCTAATAAGTTATACATAACAGCAGAATACTCTCCTATTCATTGAACACAAATGGAGCACAATTTTTGACTTCTCTGGTTGTACCCAAAGTAGGGTCACACCATTCATGCAATCATACATGTACCTAGGTATGATATCCATCTCATTTCACAATCTTTCCTATCCCCCTCCCCTTTGCTCCATCCAAAATTTCTGTTTCTAGTTTATTGAATGTTTTTATAACTAAAGCATATTGCATTTCTTTCCTTTTCTTTTTTTGGCAGTACTATGGATTGGACCCAGTGATGCTTTACTGCTGAACTACATTTCCAGCCACCACTACCTTTTTTAAATTTAAGACAGGACCTCATTAAAATCCCAAGGCTGGCCTATAACTTGCAATTTTCCCACCTTTCTTCTGAATTACTGGGATTATAGGGATAAACCACTGCACCCAGCAGTGTACTGGATTTTGTTAAGTGTTTTTTCTGTTTCAAAGTGGTTGTTTTTTCCACTTATTGCATTAATAAGGTGTATTACAAAATCTAATAGGAAAACTGGGTGAATACAGTGTAAGTAGAACAACAGATTGCTCAAATATTTGTGTCATTTAGATATTAATATTGAGTATTTACTAAATGATAGACACTATTCTATGTTTTAGAATTTAGTTTCTACCCTCATGTGTATTTTGGTGAAGACAGATAATAAGCATGAAAAATATTAGAGGCAGTATTAAATGGGTAGAGAAAGATGAGTGTTGCTACTTTTGGAATCAGGCTCAGGCCAGTCACAGGAATGCAGGTTGATGCACACCTGTAATCTCAGCTTCCTGAGAGGCTAAGGCAGGAAGACTGCAAGTTCAAGGCCCACCTCAACAGTTTAGCAAGACCCTGTCTCAAAAAATAAAAGGAAGTCTGGGGCTACAGCTCAGTGGTAGAGTGCTTGCATAGCACGTGTGAGGCCCTGGGTTCAATCCTCAGCACCACATAAAAATAAAGAGAATAAAGGTATTGTGAAAAAAATTTAAATAATGGAAATTATTAAAAAACAAATAACTAAATAAAAGATGTAGCTCTATGGTAGAGTCCCCTGGGTTCAATCCTCAGTACTAAGGAGGGGGAAGCAGGCTCAGAAATTCCTCCCAGGGGGCTGGGGATGTGGCTGAAGCGGTAGTGTGCTCACCTGGCATGCGCGGGGCGCCGGGTTCGATCCTAAGCACTACATAAAAGTAAAATAAAGACGTTGTGTCCACCGAAAACTAAAAAATAGATATTAAAAAATTCTTTCTTTAAGAAAAAAAAGAAAGAAATTCCTCCCAGGGTGTGACACTTGGGGAGAAGAGCTTTTCCTGTCAGAGCATTAAGGCCTGAAAACAGGAACAGCAAGGTAAGTATGCCTGGAGTAAGAGGAATGGTAGATGACCAGTTGAAGAGAAAAGCAGAGGCCTGATACTCCCAGAGTTTTCTAGGCCATGGTAAGAAATTTTGATCTTATTCTGAATATACTGTAAACCTAGTGGAAACTGAAGATAAAGAAGGATAATGTTGAATCTCTTCCAAAAGAGAGAGATAGGGCTGGGGATGTGGCTCAGTGGTAGAGTGCTTGCCTGCCGAGGAATGAGAGAGAATCTGGAGCTTAGTGTAGTTGGACCTATACATCAGTTTACTCCCTTAAAAAACTTCCCCTCTGCAGCTGGAGTTGTAGCTCAGTGGTAGAACGCTTGCCTTGTACGTGTGAGGCACTGTATTCAATTCCCAGCACCACATATAAATAAGCAAATAAAATAAAGGTCCATCAACAACTAAAAAAAATAAAATAAAAAATAAAACTTCCCCTCTGCTCTGCATTCTTCCTCTGTAGCCACTATATAATTTATCTTCCCCTCTGAAGTTATTCTTCTCAAATAATTGTCTACATACTGTTTATTTTTCAACTTCCCATTCTCTTTATAGTTTTTGATAAAAATCAATCAAGGGGCTAGAGCTGTAACTCCGTGGCAGAGTGCTTGTCTAGCACACATGAGGCACTTCTCTACTACTGAGCTACATCCCCGACCCCAAGACCTTTTTAAGTTTGAGACAGAGTTTTGCTATGTTGTCCAGCTGTCCTCAAACTTTTGATCCTCCTGACTCAGCCTCCTGAATAGCTGGGATTACAGGTAAGAGCCTCTGTGCCTGGCAGTCACCTTTCTTTTTTTCTTTCAGTATTGGGGATTAAACCCAGGGCACTTTACCACTGGGTTCAATCCCAAACCCTTTTTCTTTTTTAAAATTTTTAAAGAGGGTCTTGCCAAATTACTTAGGGATTTACTAAAATGCTGAGGCTGGCTTGAAACTTATGATTCTTCTGTCTCAGCCTCCTGAGTACTGGGATTACAGGTGTGTGCCACCATACCCAGTTGTCAATTTCTTAATGCTAGGGGTTGGCAAACCACTTTTCACTGACAAGGCCCATGAGCTAAGAATGGCTTTTATATTTTTAAACGTTTCAAAAAAAAAAAAAACCCAAAAGCACAGTATTTCATGTGTCAAAAGACAAAATAATAGCAAATGTAAAGACCTTAATTAGCTCTATTTGAAGTTCTAGAATTGAGCAACACTTCATTCTCTAAAATAGAATGTGTTCCAATGAGCTGAGCAGAAGTTGGTGCTATAGGCAGAAAAGGACTGACAGAATCATAGAAAAATAATTGATTGGTTAACATCAGGTTACTTTTTGGTAAGGATTAAACCAAAGGGAACTTCACTGGGCCTATTTGAAACTGGCCTGTTTGGGAAACTTGGCTATTATCTATCTTCCTATGTTTCTGGAGGTCAGATTAGTTTCAATTGGTGATATAGAATTTTAGTGTAATTAAGTGGCACCAGAAATAACACCTTCTGTCTATCTCTCTTCTATAAGGATGACTAGACATGAATATTCAGCTTACCTGTCATTGCCATTTATATGATTCATTCAGATCTCAAAAATGAACACGTCCAGAACAGCTAACTTAGCCTACCCTGTGTTGTTAAATGACACCAATATTCATCAAACTGAACAAAAGAGATACTAAAAGAATTTTTTGCTGACTCCTTCTCCCTCACCCCCATGTACCTATCACCAAACCCTTGGAAACAAAACCGAAGTCTACTATCTCCACTGCCTTCCAGCCTTTACCAACGCCGCCTCATCAGTACCACTCATTCTAGACCACTGGAGTACCTTCTGAAACTAATCTTTCAAAAACGTAAATACAGCGTCCGCCTGTAATCCCAGCGGCTCGGAAAGCTAAGGCAGGGGGATCGCGAGTTCAAAGCCATCAGCCTAAGCAACTGAGCTAGGCCCTAAGCAACTTAACGATCTGTCTTACGTTTTAAAAAATAAAATGTAAAAAGGGCTGAGGAGTGGTTCAGTGGTTCTAAATTAAATCCCTGGCACCAAAGAAAATAAAACAGAATTAGAATCATGCTCAGTAATGCCCTAAACTCCTCCAAATCGACCGAAACTGTCCCAGGAACATTCCGCGAGTCTGCCTACAGGCAGGCGGCCAATAGCACTGGGTCGACGGAGTTAAGCCATTGGCTAGACTCTCACAGACGTAAGTCACGTCGCCCGGAAGCGACGTAAAGGAGGCGGGGCAGGGTCTCACAAACTGGACCGTGAAGCTTTGCGTTTCCTCTTTCCAGCCGGCGCCGAGCCATGGGTGAGTGTTCCTCTGAGTTGGGGCTGAGGACCGGGGTGACCTCAATCCAGCGCCATCCTGCCCCACGGCGAGTTTAGAACTGGAGGCGCCACGATCTCCGGTCACAATCAGCCGTGAAGGGGGTGGCCTGTTGGTTTTAGAGTGCCAGGGGCTTGGTGGGGGTACTACGGAGGAGCCAGAGTGCAAGCGGCATCAAATGGCTGCCGCGGGAAAGAGCAATGGCTGGGCCGCACGTGTATGATGACACTTTGGTAATGCTGCACATTGCCGACTGAGCAGTGGGGAAGCCAACCTTGGAGAGCTGAGCGTGCGGCCCGCCGGACGCGGGAGGTCTGGAGCGTGTGAGTCACCGGCACCGAGCCCCAGCCGTTCAAGCTTCCGTCCCCGTTTCCACATACAGGCATCTCTCGGGATAACTGGCACAAGCGCCGCAAGACTGGGGGCAAGAGAAAGCCCTACCACAAGAAGCGGAAGTATGAGTTGGGACGCCCTGCTGCCAACACTAAGGTAGGTGCGTGCTTGGGCCTTATTGCCTGAAAGGTCGCTTCTCCCTACTGTGTTACGTACTCGGGTCTGTGAGGTGGTGGATTTTCTTGGGTTCTGATGTTAGGGACTGCGCGGCCTCCCTACCTTTATATGTTGAATAAATGCTAAATTGATGCATGGTCTATGGACTTTGGTCCCCGAGTTTACTGTCTGATAGAGACAGTTGCCTGCAGCGACTTTATCAGTTCTGGGAAGGGTGGGCATTTCTTGTGTTGGGTCTCAGGTTTTTCTCTGGTAACTAGAATGATGAAAAAAGTATCCTTAGGCGTGGTTGTGGCCGTATTGGTCACCTGTGTGCCACTTGCCAGTGGAAGGACTTGTCATAGTTACACTGACAGTTACCTCCTTTGAGCCCAGGTTCCCCTCCCTTACTTGTCTTGCTTTCCTTGATAACCTAGTTCTTGTTTCCTTGTATTCTGCAGATTGGACCGCGTCGGATACACACTGTCAGAGTTCGAGGAGGCAACAAGAAGTATCGTGCTTTGAGGCTGGATGTGGGGAACTTCTCCTGGGGCTCTGAGTGTGAGTGGGGCCCTTCAGAAGTGGGTGGAAACTTAACACCTAAGCCTGGCTAAGCTTTTGTAAGTGTTTTTAGAAGAGAACTGCATACTCTGGAGCAAAGCACTTGGAAGTTCCTCTTTGCTGAAAGACCTTGAGGTAGCAAGAGAGTTTTTTCCATCCCGACTATTCTGCCTGTATCCTGAGGGATTGGAACTGATCTTTAGAGGGTGGTTGTCAAACATCTCTAGGAAAAGATGGGATTGTGGAGGAGGAGCTGATGACCATGGCTGAGTGAAGTAGAGTTCCCTCCTTCTGTGCCTACTTGGGAAGGGAAGGGAAGGCCAATTGGCCCTTGGTTTATATGACTTGATTCTGAATTTCTCTTGTGAGCAGGTTGTACTCGGAAAACAAGGATCATTGATGTTGTCTACAATGCATCCAATAATGAGCTAGTCCGCACCAAGACCCTGGTGAAGAACTGCATTGTGCTCATTGATAGCACACCATACCGACAGTGGTACGAATCCCACTATGCATTGCCCCTGGGCCGCAAGAAGGGGGCCAAGCTGGTACGTGCTACTCCCTGTGTGGGTTAGGGGGAGGGCTGCCTGACTTGAGCCTTCTTGTGATGAAAACTCTGTCCAGTTCTGCTGCTGAAGGGAGAGAGATGAATGCCTTTAATGCTGAGGAGGGCAGGTATTGGGCTGAAGAAGGTTCTGATGACTTCCCTGAACTAATCCATATGTGTCCTTTTTATTCAGACTCCTGAGGAGGAAGAAATATTAAACAAAAAGCGGTCTAAGAAAATTCAAAAGAAGTATGATGAAAGAAAGAAGAATGCTAAGATCAGCACTCTTCTGGAGGAGCAGTTCCAGCAGGGCAAGCTTCTTGGTGAGATGGCTGTTGTATTGGGGAAATGGGAGTCATAAAGATGCAGTGTGCCCTCCGTTGATTGACTGCAGGCATGTTTATTTAAAAGGTTCATCAGGGGAGTTTAATGATAATTGGACCTTGGTGTGAAGGTGAAATGTAAAATTGTGGGTAGGAAGGGTATATCCACATATCCTTGAAGCCCAGGCATTGAGGGGGCTGTCTCAGTGATGAAAACTTTGTCCAGTTCTGCTACTGACTTGAAGTGATGATAAAGTGTATCTGAGGAGACAGTGGGCTTCATGCCTGCCCCCAGGATTCCAGACAACGTGGATCTTTTCAGAGGATATATGTAGGTGGGTGGGGCTTCTTCTCACTCACTAAGGGCCACATAATCTCTTACAGCTTGCATTGCATCAAGACCAGGACAGTGTGGCCGAGCAGATGGCTATGTTCTAGAAGGCAAGGAGTTGGAGTTCTATCTGAGGAAAATCAAAGCCCGGAAGGGCAAATAAGTCCTCCTCCCTTCTATCTTAGCTCATGTAATAAAGGTGTTTATTGTTCTATGTCCTATGTTCATGTTGTCTGAAATTTGGCTTTTTTCCTGTTGATAATGTGGAGCCCCTCATCTTACCTTCTTCTATCCTGACCCAGGTTCATCTCACTGTGGAGTTCCCGTTGGCCTCATATCTCCCTGAAGGCCCAGCCTATTGAGTTGTGTGGACTGTACATTTCTATAGTAGGGCCATTGTTTCTTACTGGGTCTCAGTGGACATAGAGATATCATGTGCAGGCCCAATGGAAGCTGTATTATTGGGGAATTTTAAAAGATACTGTACCCTTTCCTGTTTGGACCTGTGTTGTAAGGGTTTGATTAAGATCATGCTGAGGATCATAGTCAGGCCCTTATGCATGCTGAGCACATAAGCTGAGCTTACTTACAGCCAGGTTTACAACTTGGGTAAATGGATGATCTAGAAACCTTAAAGTTGTATTCATAGAGTTTTCTGTGTTTCTGAGAGCAGATTATATAAGAATAGGTTAGTGGGCTGGGGTTGTGGCTCAGTGGTAGAGCACTTGCCTAATGTGTGAGGCACTGGGTTCAATTCTAACTGTAATCCCTTACCCCCTTTGCAAAATTTTAAGATTTTGATTCCATATAATTTTTGCATTGCTGGAGATTTATATATATATATATATATTTTTAGTTGTAGTTGGACACAATACCTTTATTCTGTTCATTTATGTGGTGCTGAGGATCGAATTCAGGGCCCTGCACATGCTAGGCTAGCGCTCTACCGCTGAGCCACAATCCCATCCCCTGAAACCATTTATTTTGACAGAGGGTCTCACCAAGTTGCCCAACTGACTTCAAACCCTGTGATCCTCCTGCCTCTGCATCCCTTTGTGGAGATTATAGGCACCAGCTAAAGTACTTATTTTGGTTCTGGGATCTAACCCAGAGGTGTTTAGCCCCTGAGCTATATCCCCAACCCAGCTGCCCCTCTCTCCTTAAAATTAATTTATTTTTGGTACTGGGGAGTGAATCCAGGGGTGCTCAACCACTGAGCCACATCCCCAGCCCTTATATTTATTTATATGCCGTGCTGAGACTCAAACCCAGTGTCTTACACATGGCTAGGCAAGCGCTCTACCACTGAGCCACAAACCCAGGCCCCTTTTAATTTTTTGAGACAAGGTCTTGATAAGTTGGCTGAGGCTGGCCTTGAACTTGTGATTCTCCTGCTCAGCCTTCCAAGTCACTGGAATTCCAGGCATGTGTCACCACACCTGGCTAAAGTACATATTTTTTTCTTTAATATTTATTTTTTAGTTGTTGGATAAAATACCTTTATTTTTATGTGGTGCTGAGGATCAAACCCAGGGCCTCAAATGAGCTAAGCTCCGCTCTACCACTGAGCCACAACCTCAGTCCCCTAAAGTACCTATTTTAATATTTTAATAGATAAAAAAGCCTAAAATCCAAAAAAGATGATTGGAAGGTGGATCAGGAGAAAAACCTCTTCTGGGTACAAAAACTGCTCTTAAGGACAAGACAAAACCTAATAACTCTTTAAAACCTTACTGTTGGCTCTGGTGAAACAAGGCCCTGCTTTCTCACCTAATATTTCATCTTAATTCACTACCTTAATAACTAAAGTTTACTGAGTTATGTTTCAAGCATAGCAATGCAACATTTAGCATTTCCTGCGCCTTTTTCCTTTTGCAGGGTAATGGAGATCTAACAGGTCCTCCCACACATTAGGCAAACACTCTCCTGATCTGTATTCCCAGACCTGCTTTGAGACTAGCTAAAGTGCCCAGGCTGCCCTGGAATTTGGAATTCTATCGGCCTCCCAAGTAGCCAGTATTCAACTTCCTCCTCCTCTCTTCTATCTATAATCCAACAAAAATATCACTATGTTCTTTGGCGGGTCTTAAATGTACCTGCTCACCATCTATGTCCTCTATAGATGATGATTGTCACCGTGGAGCAAAAATATCTCCCATGAAACCTGCAAAAACCTCAAATGCCTTCTGAACAAATAGCTATCATTGTGGTGTTCTTTATGTCTCCACATTATAGATTTGGAGAACATGCTTGTAATCTGAAGCCAAGGTGAGAGAATCATAAGTTGTAATGCCAGCCTCAGCAATTTAGAGAAACCTTGTCTTATAAAAAGGAAGAGAACTGGGCTTGTAAAGAGACTCTGGGTCCAACCTCAATGCCTAAAAATTTAAAAAATTGATTTGGAAACAGGTGTTCAGTATTGCAAGGCCTAGTGGCACACATCTATAGTTCTGACCACTAGGGAGGCTGAGACGGAAGGCTGGCAAGTTCAAGAGCAGCCTGGGCAAATTAGCAAGACATTGTCTCAAAAAAGGGTTGGGGATATAACTCAGTGGCAGAGCTCTCCAGGGTTCAATCTCTAGAGGCTCAAAAAAGAGAAATGCATTCAGTAATCATCTTCCCTTTTGTTTTGGTGGTGCTGGGGATTGAACCCCAGTACCTTGTGCATGTGAGGCAAGCACTCTACCAACTGAGCTATATTCCCAGCTTTCTGGTAGTAATTCTTCAGCCATAACAGTTTTGTTGTTCACTATATTTTTTTAAAGAGAATTTTTTTTTAATATTCTCGGTAGTGCACTCGCCTGGCATGCGGGGGGCGCTGGGTTCAATCCTCAGCACCACATACAAAAAGATGTTATGTCCGCCGAAAACTAAAAAATAAATATTAAAAAAATCCTCTCTTTAAGAGAGTGAGAGACTCTCAAAAAAAAAAAAAAAAAGGTCTGGGGTGGGTGGGGTGGCATATGACTGTTTCAAATCAGTTTAATCAGTCTCCAGGGCATATTCCCAAACCCCTTTTTTTTTGGGGGGGGGTGCTGGGTAT